ATAGCAAAAAGATGGAAACAACCTAGGTGTCCATCAACAGAAGAATGGATAACCAAACTATAGTATATACACACAATGGAATACTGTGCAACCCTAAAGAATAACATGTTGTTGTTGTTGTTGTTGTTATGTGCCGTCGAGTCAGCCCCGACTCATAGCGACCCCTCCTTGGGTTTCTGAGGCAGTATCACTACAGAAGTAGGATTGCCCAACCTTCCTTCTGAGGAGTGGCTGGTGGGTTTGAACCGCCAGCCTTCTGGTTAGCAGTCAAGTGCTTTAGCCACTATGCTACCAGAGCTCCTAAAGAATAACATAGAATCTGCAAAACATGGCATAACATGGATGAAGTTAGAGGACATTATGCCGAGTGAAATAAGTCAATCATAGGACAAATATTGTATTAGTCTGTTATTGTAAAAAGTCAAGGAAAGGTTTATATATGGAAGGAAATTTTCTTTGGTGGTTACCAGGGATGGGAGGGAGGGGACAGAACACTGTTAGATAGGTAGAGACAAGTATTGATTTGGGTGAAGAGAAGGACAATTTACCAAATGTGTGTGATCAACATGGTGGCATAGAGGAAGAGGAAGACACAGAGAGGTGCATGGGAAGTACAGACAACAAAGATGAGCTCTTTTGCAGTACTGTGCTGTCAGTGATGGCAAACATTGATAAATGGGTGGATAGATGGGTGGACAGGCTGAACTATTTGGTATGTTTATGCAGGGTGGAGTGTGCCCATGACCATCCATAGGATTGGCTGACAATGCTTCTACAAGTGTATTTGTTTGTTCTGTAAGAATTCCAAGGTATACAGTAGAGGTGACAAGGAACAAGATTGTAGTTATTTCTTGGCCACAGCCAGCTACCTAGAGGGAGCAAATAGTTGGACTTATGGGTTTGGGACCATAGTCGCAGGGCATATCAAGCTCCTTTGGCATAACATACTACACAAAAAAGTTGTTCCACATCCTACTTTGGCGAGTAGTGACTGGCATCTTAAAATCTTGCAAGTAGTCATCTAGATGCAACAATGGGTCTCTCCTCATCCAGAGCAAAGAAGAGTGAAGAAAATCAAAGACTCGTGGAAACAGTCCAAGGGACTGGTTAGACCGTGAGCTCCTCAGCCTATATGATCATGAAACCGGAAGAACTAGATTGTCCCTGGCCACCACTGTCAACCACTCGAAGGGGTATCTGTGTAGGAGATCCTGGACGGAGTGGGGGAACAATGTGGAACAAAACTCAAAATTATTGAAAACAAGGGGGGGATCAGGTTTGCTGGTCTGATAGAGCCTGATGGAACCACTGAGACTATGGCCCTTAGCTGCCCTTCAGGTTTGGAACTGAACCCACTCCTGTGGCTTCCAGCCAAATAAAAGACAGGCATATGAGCTGAACATTTACACTAGGTAGATAACACTCCTTGGAGAGATCAGTCATGGGAGAACGCAAGGGCTGTGTATGCACAGGGAGACAGCTCAGAGGCAGGAGTGCATGGGAGGGAAGGACACAGGGAAGAGGTACATATGGGGAGTAAGTGAGAGGGGAGCTGTTGCATTGTGGAAAATTGCAGTCAATGTCATGAGACAAAGTGTATGTGAGCTGCTGTATGGAAAGTGAATTTGCTCTGTAAGCTTTCACCCAAATCACAATAAAATTTTTTTTAAAAAATGAAAGGAATACACAGTAACTGTACCAAAAATAGTTGGTTGACATTCAACCATTTCTGGAGGTAGCACATGATCAAGAATCAATAGTACTGAAAGAAGAAGTCCAAGCTGCACTGAAAAAGCATTGGGGTAGGTGGGGAGGCTCCAGGAACTGATCAAATGCCAAGTGAAATGTTTCAACAAACAGATGCAACTTTGAATGTGATCTCTTGTCTATGCCCTGAAAATTGGGGCATAGCTACCTTGCCAAGAGATTGGAAGAAATCCATATTTGTACCCATTCCAAGGAAAAGTGATCCAACAGAACGTGTAAATTATTAAACAATATTAATATCATATGCAAGCAAAATTTTACTGAATGTAATTCAAAAACAGTTGTAGCAGTATATCAACAGGGACCTGATAGAAATTCAAGCTGGATTCAGAAGAAGAGGTGGATTCAGAGATGTCATTGCTGATGTCAGATAGAGCATGACTGAAAGCGGAGAATACCAGCGAGATGTTTATCTGTGTTTTATTGACTATGCAAAAGCATTTGACTGTTTGGGTCATAACAAATTATGGATAACATTGGGAAGAATGGGTACTCCAGAACACTTAATTGTGTTCTTGCGGAAATAGTACATAGACCAAGAGACACTCATTTGAATAGAAGAAGGAGATACTGCATTGTTTAAAATTGAGAAAGGTGTGAGAAAATAATCTGAGAGGCTAGATTGTATGAAGAAAAATAGGCTCAAGAAAACTTCAATATGCATGAATAACTTTTGATATGCCAATGACACAAACTTGTTTGCTGAAAGTGGAGGAGACTTGAAGCACTTGCTGATGAAACTCAAAGACTATATAGCCTTCAGTATGGATTATACCTCAACATAAAGAAAAAAATTCCTCACTAACTGGACCAAGAAGCAATGTCATACCAAACAGAGAAGAGATTGAAGTTGTCAAGGATTACATAATACTTGAATCAGTGCCTATGGAAGTAGCAGTCAAGAAATCAAATGATGTATTGCATTGGGCAAGTCTTTTGCAAAAGACCTCTTGAGAATATTATAAAGCAAAGATGTCACTTTGAGGACTAAGGGATGCCTGACCCAAACCATGTTCTTGTCAGTCATCTCATATGCATATGAAAAGTTAATCATGAATTAAAAAGACTGAAGAATAACTGATACTTTTGAATTATGATGTTTGTGAAGAATATTGAATATACCATGGACTGCCAGAAGAAGGAACAAATCTGTGTTGGAAGAAGTACATCTGGGATGCTCCTTAGAAGTGCAAATGGCCAGACTTCATCTCATATACTTTGGACACGTAATTAGAAGAGATTTGTCCCTAGAGAAGTACATCATGGTTGGTAAAGTAGATGGTCAGTGAAAGAGAGGAAGACTCTCAATGATATGTATTGACACAGTGGCTATAACAAAGGGCTAAAATATAGTGACAATTGGGATGATGGTGGAGGACTGGGCAGTGTTTTGTTCTTTTCTACATAGAATCATTATGATTTAGAACTGACTCAACAGCACCTAACAGCAACAACACTGAAATACAGTGTTTCTTGAAGCAAAGCTCTTGTGTAATTATATGAGTTGGCAGGTGAAGTAGTCACTTTATTATTATTATTACATCATTTTTATCACGTACAGACAAACTTTAATTACTCAGATTGGCTATTTACAAATTTCAAAAAAAGAAGAAGAAAATTGAGCTGTCAGTTCAAAGAAAACAATTGAGAATAATTGTTGCCAATTAAAAAAGTCTGGATTTCAAACAAAATTTAGAATTTTGAAATACTTGTATTCACCACTTTGATCATGCCAGTGTCCTAGTACTTAAAGGCTTTTCTGCTGAGACTGATGCTGACATTAACAAATGTGATCTGATTGTATTGTATAATGAAATGTACCATTTGGAAGATCTGCATAACTATTAAAACCAATATTTTCCAAATTACCAATGCAATGTATGATAATTTCGTGCATGAGTATAAGACACATTTAAAGTGCAAGAAGCAGTTGCTGAATGACACAAATCAACCATTTGTGCTTGACTACTGGCTGAAAGGTTGTGTTTCGAATCCAACCAGAGGTGCCTTGAAAGACTGGCCTGGCAATCTGCTTCTGAAAGCTCACAGCCTTGAAAACGCTATGGAGTAGTTGTACTTTGCACATATGAGGTTGCCATGGGTTAGAACCAACTCGGCAACCACTTGAGAACAACAAAGTGTGAGATAGAGCAATAAGCTTTAATGTAAAAGGGTACAAAAAGTGTATTAATATAGTCACAGATTCCACTTTGCAACTAGCCATTAGAAAACTACTTCTTGTCAAACTTTGGTGGAGTTTCTATAAAAATACCCACAATTATCTGAAGAGGCAACTGAATTGCTCCTCCCCTTTCAAACTGCCTATATGTGAGGCCAGATTGTCTTCATAAACTTCAATTAAATAATGTATTGGAAAAAATTGAATGCAGAAGCAGTTATGAGAATACAGCCGTCTTCTATTAAGCCAGATATCAAAGAGATTTGCAAAAAAAAAAAAAATGTAAAACAATGCTGCTTATTTTATTACATTGCTTTTGCTTAATAAAATATGGTTATTTTAAATTAAAAGTATGTTATTTATGTTAAAATGTAAGTATAATGGATATACCATTATTTTAAATAAATAGCTAAATAAATATATGTATTTTTTCATTTTAATTTTAATGCCTAAATATGTAGGAGGAGCTCTGGTAACATAGTGCCTAAGGCACTTGACTGCTAACCAGAAGGCTGGCGGTTCAAACCCACCAGCCACTCCTCGGAAGGAAGGTTGAGCAATCCTACTTCCGTAGTGATACCCCTTGTGAAACCCAAGGAGGGGTCACTATGAGTCGGATCCTACTCAATGGCAGTGAGTTTGTTTTTGGTTTTAAATACTGATGTGTGTAAGGTATATAAATAAAAGCTCTTTGGAGTTCTCAACAATTTTTGAGAATGTGAAAGGATCCTGAGACCAAAAAGTTTGAGAACTGCTGATTTAGGTAAAAGGAGGAGTAAGAGAACATGGCATAAAGGGAAGAAGAAAGGGAGAAAAAGGAAAGAAGGATTCCAGTCTAGTGAATATTAGACTGATGGAATCAGGCTTACTATCATCATTTTACTCCCCATAGCAAGAACGTTTCATATACGTTACATAGTGGCAAACACAAAATTAAGTTATTGCTGCTTTTGCCCATCAGCAGGGGAAAGGACTACCTTCCAAATGCTTCTTCCCTTCAATTTTGTAAATATTTTTGAGGAAGAAAAAAGTAAGTGCCTCCTCGTATACTCACCTGCTCTCTTGGGAGAGGAGTTTGACACAGGCAGTATGGCCACAGTAGAGGGCATAGGCTAGGGGCGTGCTCTCATTGATGTCTCGCAGGTTGCTATCCATGCCCAATTCTAATAGTGACTGGACACAGTCGGCCTTCCCTGCAGCTGCAGCCCAGTGCAGTGGTGTCCTGGGGGAATCATATGGGAAAAACACAAGTGTCCGAGCACATGAATAGTATAGGCTGTTTGTCTAGCAATGGTTACTGCCCAAAATTTGGGTGTGGCAGGAAAAGTCATGGTGGGGAGATGTAAATTGTTATACACTCCACAACTGACTGAAAGGCTGGCAGATCAAATTCACCCACGAGTCCCAGAAGATACTCCTGATGTTCTGCTTCCAAAAGGTCACAGCCTTAAAAATATGCAAAAAGCAAACAAACAAACAAAAATAAAACCAAACTCACTGCCACTGAGTTGATTCCAGCTCAGCAACCCTATGGGATAGAGTAGAACTGCCCCAGAGGGCTTCCAAGGGTGTAATCTTTACAGAACCAAACTACTTCATCCTTTCCCTGCAAAGTGGCTTGTGGGTTGAAACTGCTGATCTTTTGGCTAGTAGCCAAGCACTTTAACCACCACACCACCGGGGCCCTGAAAAACCCTATTGTTGTTGTTAGGTGCTATTGAGTCAGCTCCAACTCATAGCAACCTTATGCACAACAGAATGAAACACTGCCCGGTTGTGCACTATCCTCACAATCCTTGCTATACTTGAGCCCATTGTTGCAGCCTGTGTCAATCCATCCACCATTATGGGGTAGTTCTATTCTGCACACATGGGGTCACCATGAATTGGAACCAACTCGATGACAATAAGCAGCAATAACATCAACTGTATGGAAATAACCAGTTGTGGTCAAGTAGGTTCTGACTCATGGGGACCCCATGTGTATCAGAGCAGAATTGTACTTTGTGGGCTTTTCAAAGGCTGATTTTTCAGAAGATCACCAAGCCTTTCTGCCAAAGGGTCTCTGAATGGAATCAAACCACCAATTTTTCAGTTAGCTGAAGCTAAGCATGTTAACTGTTGGCATGGGCTAAATTTTAAAAATCTAACCCAGGATGAAAATGTTGTTGTAGGCACTACACTGTGAGGCTTAAGGATGATGGGGTGTATATGTTGCAGCTTCTTTCTAGCTCTAAATATCCTTTGGCCTTTCACCTTCTCTGGACTTACTGAGAATTTCCTAGAAAAGGAAGTACTGACCAAAGGGAGTTGACAGTTTTAGTGCTCTTCATACATAATGGCAGCCTTCCAGGAAGATTTTCACAATTTATTCGCCCATCAGCTATGTTATGTCTCTCTGCCTTTTCTAATATTGAATATTCTCATCATCATTAAAAACTTTTGCCAAATTGGTAGGCAAAATGATGCTTCACTTTTGTCTTTTGCATTTCTTTAATTCATGTTTTTGTTGTTGTTGTTAGGTGCCGTCGAGTTGTTTCTGACTTATAGCGACCCCATGCACAGCAGAATGAAACACTGCCCAGTCCCACTCCAGCTCCATGATCCCTGCTATACTTGAGCCCATCATCTCAGCCACCATGTCAATCCATCTCAGTGAAGGCCTCCCCCTCTTTCATCGACACTCCACCCTACTAAGCATGACATCCTTCTCCAGGGAATGGTCCCTTCTGACAACATGACCAAAATAGGTGAGATGAAGTCTGACCATTCTCGCTTCCAAGGAGCATTCCGGGTGCACTTCCTCCAGGACAGATCTGCTAATTCTTTTAGCAGTCCATGGTACTTTCAGCATTCTTCGCCAGCACCACAACTCAAAAGCATCAACTCTTCTTTGGTCTTCCTTATTCATTGT